TTATGGCTTTGCTCAAATGCATATCGACGAGTGCGTGGTGTGTGTGAGGTATTGTTGTTGACTACTTGGAATGAGACGAGGACATAACAAAAGTAATGGCACAGCTTGTGTGCATTTGTATGTGTGTGCGCGCGCGCGCGTGCATGTGTTTTGCGGCAGGCTCGCCTTTGGGTCACAGCTCTTTTGCTCTCTTTAATCATAGTTTTCCTTCAGCTGTAAATAGGCCGTCGAGATATACGCGCACGCAGACACGCACTCATATGCAGTGCGTATGTTTTGGCGTGTTCTGCTGGCTTTATGTCACATTTCTCAACCACCCACGCTCATGTGATCTGAGAGTGATGGAAATGTACGCGCACACACACACAAAGAAGAGCTACTCGGTCGTAAGCTTGCCCCCTCGCTAACCTATGATCAGAACAAGACACACACTCACAAAACCAAACCGCCTTGAGATTACAGCAAGGATCCAATCGCCCACAGCTTCCTCTTCTTTTTGGACTGTCTGCTACACTGAACTTGAAGACACTTAACACACACGCACATGCATGAGAGTAGCAACTTGGACCCTGAAGGATTCTAGTGTGTCACACACTCACGTTCTCATGTCCATATACTTAAGTCCAGAGTATTTCAGTGTCAAAAGCACAATTGCACCAAAACTTGTACACGCCCCCATGGCAGATGCAATGACGATTACCATTGCAACCAATGATGACGGAGAAAGTGAGTGAGCTCGCTTGTGTTTAGAGGTGAAAGCACAACTGAAAAAAATATGGACGAATATCCCACCTCTACTCATCTGTCACTACCTTAACGTCTACAAAAAAAAGTCGTTAAACCTGGTATTCTCCCCAGGCTTCCTCCCAAATTCGGAAAAGACTCGGTACTAGTCCAGGGTGCACCCCGCCTCTCATCCAACATCAGTTTGGAATAGGCTCTGCTCCCAGTGAGAAACACACAAAATGCTATTCCAAAAAGAAAAAAGATGGATGAATAAAACACAGCGAGGGGAACTTTTTCTGGCCTCAAACACAAAATAAGCCATTTCTCTGAAAACCCGCTCTCCTCTTCGTCTTCCCTTAACGAATTTTGCAATTATGTGTGCAAAAACAAGTGTGCCTTCAATCACGTAATGGACGTAACCACCAAAGTCTTTCCCTTCTCCAACTGACCATTAACATTCCCGCCGCAGTGGCTAATGGCACAGTCCCTCCGTTTAACGCCATGCCTTTGACTCCACTTATTGTAATGGCCGGCTGGGCCCCGTTCGGCCCACCTCGGCTCGGGTCAGCGGCCAGACATCAAACGTAATAGCGCGCCATCAGGCCAATTGTGCCGCCGCGCTTTCAAGTGAATGCATCACGGTAATGAAAGTTAGCTGCTTTGGACGTCATCTAATGAGAGGGAGGAAAAAACGCAGCTCATAAATCTTTATTTGGGGATTTGGGTTCTGAGCACAAGTTTGACACGTCACACGTCAGTTTGTTTAAAAGCTTTCGGCCCGTCAAAGTTCATTTGGTTTCGGCTGCGGGGCCCCGCTTGTCTGTGTACACAAATGTCTTTTCAGGCCACTTTCTAGACTTCACACCCTCTTTCATCCACTCCTCCTCCTTCTCCTCGTTCTTCTGCGAAACTAAGATTTTACTCGCCATCATGTAGAACGGTTCATTGAAGACATTTAAAAGGTTTGAGTGTTTTTTGTGAAATTCCGATTGGTAGATGTTTTCTGCCAATGTCTCCTTTGGGTAAAAACCTCCACCCATTCTTCACATTGATCGGACTATTTCTGATCCCATATTTAGAGAATGACATCAAGAATCAGGTTCGACTGTTCTTTATGTGAGCAACTAGATGTGAGTTGTGGACTACAAAAGCACCTTGTGACTGTTCCCGTTTTGTATTTCTGTGTTTGTTGACGATTTGGCTCTTTAGATGGCTGAAAGTGCATCGCATGTAGTGTATGGGGTGCTGCCTCCACGAGTAAAAATGCTTTTAGTGTCTCTCTGGGAATTTACTTTTTTTTCCCCACACTCTGGGCTCTCTTTCCTTAAATCGAAGCCGCTCACCTTATCGCAGCCGCCTCGCTCGGCCTTTGGTATTCAAAGTCACGAAACGGACAGGACTGCTTGCCACCTTAAGACAGGCGACACTTCAGGAGACTTAAAAAACACATTGTGTGTGTGTGTGTGTGTGTGTGTGTGTGTGTGTGTGTGTGTGTGTGTGTGTGTGTGTGTGTGTGTGTGTGTGTGTGTGTGTGTGCGCGCGCGCGCGTGTGTGCGCGTGTGTGCGCGTGTGTGTTTCCTGCTGCCTCACAATGACTGACTGCGCTTTGTTAGCTCTTCTGTAGTCCGCCAGCAACGCAAGTGGGAAAAGTCATCTCGTTTATTATTTTCCTGTGTTTGGTTTCCCGCCGAAAGAGCACAAGCTGCCACCAGCTCTGTTTGACTTGCTTCAACTTTTCATGAGCAGCCAGGGAGGCCGCATTCTTCTTCTTTCCCCCTTTAAACTGACCGGATCCCCATCTCACTTTCTTTTTACCATCTGCCTTTGTGGCATTCACTTTCTTTCTTCTCCTCTTTGACTGCCGGTTGAAAGCCTCGCTGTATTTACCAGCTTAGCTCCCTAATCCCTGGACAAACTACTATCACTAATGACTTTCTCACTGCATGGAGCGCTGGATGGATGGATGGATGGAGGTGGGGGGGGGCAGCAAACTACACACTTACAGGGGAGCAGAGAGCAAATGGAAAGACAATAAGACAAAGTTTACCTAAGTAAAAACTGGAAAGGTTTTGTTCGCAGGGACCTGCAAGAAAAACGACTATGGCCTATCATTGCTCAGGCCCGGAGTTGGCTGTGCCGCTTAAATAATGCAAGTGCCAAATATTGATAGCGGTCTGATATTCAAAGAGTTTTTGTGACTACCAGTATTCTTCTCCTGCTGTTTAAATGTCATGTGAGTATTGAGGTCAATTGGAAGAATATTTTATTATTTGGCCTGTCACTAGACGTCACCGGTGTAGATAGGTGTACAAAGATACATTATTTGTAGTAATTAAACATTTTTCGGATCAGTTAGGTGAAAAAGGATACCATACTTAAGTCACATTGCCTAAAGTGCACATTGGTAAGAAACGGCTGCTGTATTGGATCCTAGATGATTTTCTTCAAATATATTGCAACTTGCTGTGTTGTGATACCGCTGTGATCCATTTTTTTTCACATCCCACGTGCTGTTTTCATGTAAATAAAGGCCAGAAGAACATTGTAACCAGGGATGATGTACACTTCAGAATAAACTGAAAGTCACTCACAGAGTGTACTTTATACGCCAGGCAGGTAGAAGACAAAGAGGGAGACAGAAACAGGTAGTTGGGGCCCAGTCATGCGTGTCCCTCCGTGTGGGTGTGTGCGCATAAAACATTCCTGCCGGCTGTTCTGTAGGGGTGCACACCTGCGGAGGACCTGAGGTCACTGGGTCACACACACGACATTCTTAGTCTTGCAGGGGGGGGGCAGACCGAGACAATGAGGTGGTGTGTAAAAAGAAAGAGACTTTGTTAAATCGGCTCAGACCTTTTGGTTCAAATATGAGCTATTTTGTTTCCAAAGCAAAAAAAAAAAAAAAATCCATCGAGGGGCATCTCATTTCATAAAACTAAGTTAAGGGAGCATTTTATTTCAATGTATATTAATTGCAGTGGGAAATTTGTATTCAATAGCCAACACATTCATCCGTAAATGTCTATTTGTAAGTTAGCAAATATGGTCCCTTGCTCAAGAAAGGCAGCATGGAAGCGCGCAATGTTTTGACTCCTGCTTTGAAGCCAACTGTCCTCGGCGTACCTGCGAGGTGTCAGAGAGTGGCGCGGAGGTGTGAGCGCATCATCCGTGGCCCCTCACACATACCGCTCCGCATGAGCGAGCGCCGGGTTGTTTGCTCTGCCGTGTTTGCAGGAACCTGATGCATTTTGCTGTCTGCTGCCGCCTATTTGTTTGAGACTTTGGACTATAAATCTGTCAGGAGGATGCAGGCGAGAGGAAATGTGGGAATGTGTGGATTGTGAACGCACACCCACACGCTTGTCAGTAGTGACAATCTATTCAGAAGGGTCCTGACGATATTGTGCAAATATTCCCCCCCAAAATGGAATGATTGTAAACAGGATGAGAGATCAGAGCAATCTGATTGGCTGATGTTATTTCCTCCACAGACAGAATCTCACTTTGTATTGCTGCAATTTATCATGTTTACGTCATCCATCATGAACAGATTCATAATAATTTTTGAAAATCACTTAAATCTCTCTCCATTGCCTGCTACCCCCCATCTGGACAATCACGGTGTGGACTGCAGTCATTGTGTGATTTATCGTTGACTTCACCAAAACAGGTTGGACCCCCTCCAAGCCGGCGTCCCGACCCATTTATGCAGTCTGACTGTGTGAACTAATGAACTCCGCTTTCGTTCTAATACTCAGACTGGCAGGCGGGCACGAGGCTCACACACGAGCATGATCTGACTCTGGCTAACTGACTTTCTTATCCACAGAGGTCTAATTCAGTGCTTGGTTTGGGGTTTACACTGTACGTAGTTGTCATGCATGTTGAAGCCCTTCCATCCTAGCACAAAGAAGCTACATTTTGCCTATTTAAAAATGAGCCTTTAACTGCGTGCATGCGTGAGTGTGTTGAGATGATGTGTAAAAATTCTCATTTGTGTCTACTTCACTTCGCGGTATAGACACACACACACACACACACACACACACCCTAACTCTGAGAAGCTGAGGGTCTTAATTGATCGGAACCCAGGAGCTTGTAATTAAACCAACAAGAAATCATCGTCTCAGGTAATGAGAAATGTGACACAAGCACACGCACGCACACTGACCAGTGGAGATGACCCCGGGCGGTCCCTCCAAGCGAGTGAGATTCCGTCGCTGGGCGGATGTCTGGGACTTTTAATAACAGCCTGCCGAGGCTAATTTATGATTGGTTGATTGGGCAGTTAAAGCTCCAATGGGGCCAAAGCATCGTGTCAAGTATTTGGCTCTTTTTAAAAGGCCTCTCTACCTGGGGGACATGTTTGCAACTACGACTATTACCACCAGCACTTAAGACCCAAGTGGTAGCCAGTTTGCATTGAATATTTTACATTGTCATAATGCTCATGAAAATTCTGGACGTTAATTTCTAAGGTTGTAGAAACTTGACACGGAAGAATATGTGGGAAAGGAGTTTGTCAATGAATGTCGAATGAGCCCGTCTATCCCGTGACCAGTCCATCAGAATGTTTTGAGCCGAGGCACTTGTAGCATCATTGTGCCGCACAAGTGGACTCAATCCACTGGCCTGAAAGACGTCTTGAGCTCACAAAAGCCTCTTTAAATGACTCGTGGAGACACACGTTAACTGGGACGGACAGACCAGGCCATTCAGACGGAGGAAATGTCACTCAGCGCCAGGATTTAGACTCCAACAAAGATTAAGTTCTCTCCTCTTTATTAGCCACTTCCTTTTACGTCCCTCCATCGCATTTTTGTCCTCTGCAAGAAGGAACATTTTTTTTTTGTTTTGTTTTTGGCATAGGGTTTTCCTGGTGGGCATTCCCCACTATCAGGGCATTAAGAAGGTTAAAAATATACAGTAAATATTTCAAATCATATTCAATATGGGAGTTATATAGTAAGATAGCTGGCTAAAATGTGGATTTGATGAGTCAAACTTCATTGGCTGACCAAGATAGTAGCAAGTTGACTAGAATAGCTACAGTAGATGGACCACATATGAAGTCCGCGGGACTGTTCTAGAAATAGCTGGGACATAAGTTTCTAGGAATGTTGTAAAAGTCATTCTTTGAAAATGTGAACACCAGCATAGATATATATATATATATAAAGATAGTGTTGCCTCTTCTCATTAATTCATATCATTCATTATTATATTAATTAATTATTATAAGGATGAACTAACTAGCTAGCTAGTCAAGCTAGCAGCAACTCGGCTGAGATATATACATGAAGGTTATCTCTCATATATTGAAGACTTGGCAGAGTTCTGCAATTTTATTTCTTCCTCCTTTTTGTCACCATGCTCCATCCTTTTCTGATCTCCATCTCCTTTCCCTCTCAAGTATTTGTCCACCCCCCAGGGCTTCCTTCCTGCTCACTCACTTTCTTTCCTGTCTTTCTCTCGGTGGAGATTTCACTTTTCCTCCTTACGGCCCGGCGAGACGTTGTTGATGTTGGCCGCGGCAGACTCCTGCCACCTATCAGTGGATGACTAATGAGTCCGTTGTTGCACTGGCGATAGACAGAGAGGAGCATTAGCGGGCTAACTGAGTGGTCAACACTCTTTTACAAGGGGAAGGAAGGTCCACACATTTTGTCGGCCAAAGAAATCGCTGTCAACTGTTGTTTTTTTTTTTTTTAAATTTAATCTAACCAATGTTCTTGTTGCCTGTGTAGATCATTGTCACTATAAACATCTCTGACATGAGTGTTCAGCTTCAAAGATTCCACTGCAGTACAATAACAACTTTGCTGCAGTCTCTGATAGCCGTCATATCTGATTAGATTTACTGACATTTTCTAATAAATCGTCCCGTTTATATGTTCTTCTTTGCTCTTTAACTGACTTAAGATCTTTTTTGTTGTTGTTTGGCTTGTAAATGTCCATACTTGGAAAATCTAATTTATTACTGGCATTGTACATTTTAGAACTAGTTTGACAGGCAGCATCAGACTGTTTATTCTCTGCTCATCATTCCCTTGTCTTTTATGTCCCCCTGCCCCTTTTTTTTTTTTTTTTTTTTTTGCCCTGTTCATACAAAGATAAAGAGTTTGACCCGGGACCCCTGTGTTGTACTAATATGTCAGCCCTGAGGAAACGAGGAGCAAGAAGACAGAAAGCAGAGAGAGACGGAGGTGGAGATGAGTTTGCTTGATAAAAGTGACACTTTGGGGGAGAGGGATTCTTCAAATTCCACTGTTCCCCCATGACGTGCGCGCGCATACTCACACACACACACACATGCTTCCGTAATGGCCAGCACAGACGTTCTCCAGCAGGAGCACTTCACATCATTCCTGTTGCTTTTTCTCCTTTTTGGCCCTTCTTGTCATTCCTCCCGTTACTACTTTGTATGCTTCCGTTCCCACCACTTTTACTTTTTATTACAAACCATTTCTGGTTTTGTCAATCAAAAGCTTTAACATTGTACTTTTAATGCTCACACTTGCAGGGAGTTTAATACAAGAACTGCTCATTTGTCCCGCGGCTTACAAGAGATAAAAAAATCGGTGATTGACTAAAGTACGACAGCATTTTTCAAACTGGGGTTACCGAGCCGTAGTTTAGAGTTCCATTAAATCATTTGATGAAACTTCTGTTGTATAAGAGTACATACCTACAATGATTTTTTTTTGAGAACAAAAGATGCATTTGTTTGCAAATCCTATTTTTGAGTTCGTTTTTAATTTGATAAAATTTGTGATGATGACATTTCATAATCAAACTTTTTTTCTTCTGCAAAAATAAGCAACGCCATGTGGCATTTTGGGTTACACAACGTGATCTTGAAAAAAAAATTATCTCCCGAAATGTTTGAGGCCGTGTCACACTAGGAATTACACGGGGCCCAATTTCCGCCTGCTAATAGCATCCATCCAGTGTGTTCAGCTAATAAAGTACCAGCGGTGACAGAGACAAATTAGAGACCATTTTTCCTTTTATAAAATCAAGTATTTTTAATCAAACAAGTAGAACTTTGGCCAACAGGTTTTAATAGCTTCAGGGTTCTTAATTACTCTCCTCTGCACACCAGACATGTGCAAATAACAAATAAAGGAAAGTCGTGCACTCCATTATGTTATTAGTATTTATGCAGCCTACTGCAATATGGGCATTGTAAAATATCAACAAATACTGCTAAAACATGTCTCAATTATGAACATAAAGAATGTTTAAAAATGCCGCAGGTACAGTATATTGCGCATTCTGCACTAATTGCACACCATGAGCAGCTTTAAAATATATTCCTCTAATGAAGTTCATGATTTTATTTTACTTACGTCTGTCTGATCTGGCTTCTCCAGCAAAGCAATTTATAGGTGAGGAAATTAGCGAAGCTAGCTAGCGTGATGGATAGATAGATGAGAGGCGTCTGTGTTTGGGTGACCTGACATGTACCTGAAATTCCGCCTTATTTTTATTCCCTCATATTCAGTGGTCTTACCCTCTTTCCTATTCATTCAAAAGCTTCGCACCCTAGTGCTGTTCCTTTTTTTTTTCCTTCCAAACAGCTCCTCACATTTTACCAGCTGCTGCTTGTTCACACTCTGATACTTACACACACACACACACACACACACACACACACACACACACACACACACACACACACACACACCCACACACACACGCTCCCACTGCTGCAATATAGAAAGCACATATGAAGCATATCCACTCAGCCGCTGGCTGATTTGTTGTCTGTTACAGTGTAAGATAGAACTTAGACATGTCGGTACACACACGTGCACACACGGTATATTCTATGCTGTACTTCATTGAATTACAGTGAAATGGAACGCAGGAAGTTCTGGGAGGCCTGTCAGACCCTTTGGATTTACAATCAATTTTCCATAGGGTGAAAAAAAAAATTCTAACTGAAGAAATAACTAACGGTACAGGCTATGTTTAAGTTCAGTATATAAAATGTTGGTAGTATAAAACCAATCACGTTTCCCCATTGAAATGAACGGAATCACCATCAATCTGTTGTAGATTTCTCAAACGAAAACATATATATTTTTTTTTAATGAGGACAAATTGTGCTTCACAATATTAACATAATTAAATACAATGGAAAAAATTAAACCGTTTTTGTCACACTTTCAATGGCCACTGCTCTTTTGGTCATTTTTTTTCTCAGAGGATAAAGAATCTATGTCGATAGGCATTATTGCTTGGCCTATCTACAGGTGTTGCTCTGTATTAATATCTTTTGCCTCAATGGTTATAACACTTCCATGCTCTAAGTTAGCACTCTATGGTATTTCCAATTGTGTTAGCATTATCATTAGGCTAGCTTGGCTAAGCTATGTGAATGTTTTAAAGACACAACGTGATACACTTAGTTCGACAGTCAACGTTAAACGGGAGTGGTAAGAAACTTCCTGAAGCCGATTTTTTTAAAGAATTGTTCACTAGTTGCCAAACTGTGGCTTGTTGTGAAGTGAGTTGAATGCACTGGTGCCATATGGCACTCCAAGCAAAAAAATCGGTCGAACGATGGCCAAAGACAACAATCAAGACATGCAACAAATGCAAGAAAATCTTGTTTGCTATTCTCTGCCAAATTCCTACAAAACAGTCGCTTTTCTTTTGAATACCTCTTTTCCGCTCCTGCGTATGGTTTTACTTTACTTTCGATCCACCGTGTCCTTGAGGCATCCAAATCCTCGCCTTGCTCGTGTGCGGTCACCTTTTTTGCGCTTCCCTACAAATGTGACACACTCTCTCGTTGACAGCCATACATACCCCTCGGGTTGCGATGAAGACAGACTGAAGCAATGCCCTTTCTTCCAACCCTCCTTCATATTTGAATAAATACATAAATGTCTCAGCCGAATGAAAACATATGTTTAAAATCGCAACACAAATGTTGGCTAAACCGTGTAAGACACCCTATTTTCAGCTACGTGCGGGGAAAAGCGAATTTTTAAGGCTCTTTCTGAAATTCCCTAAAATGGCGCCAAAGCACTTTGTCATAGAAAAGTAGTCAAGGAAGTACACCCGAGGGCAGTCTGAAACAACTCAAGAGTGCCACAACTAAGTGATTCAGGAAGCTGTTGTAAAATTAGTCATTTTTAGCAACGATTAAAGAATCCATGCCTGTGAGTATTGTTCCAGTCTGTCTGCATGTGTTGCTTTTAAGTTTGTGTTCAAAATGTCTGTTCCTTCCGCGGTTATAATCACACCAATATTGCTATTC